GATGCAGAGCTCCTCTATACTTGGTTTATAGCGGGGCTATCCCCCCGGAGGGAGGCAATCAGCAGTTGGCTGGGCCACGGACAGGGAAATGAGGGGCGAAAAAGTGGAACTCGCCGACATGACGGAGTACCTCTGCAGAATGGAAAGGGAAAACGCCGATTCCACGGCCCTAGCCGAAAAGGAAGAAGGCGGGCCTGGGAATCATCCCGATTTGGAACCAATGGATATTGGGGCTGTGAACACCAAGCCATCTAAACACGGGGCTAGCGGCGGCTAGCGTCAGCAGACGGCGAACTCGCCACCCAGAAAGCAAGACTGAGACTCTGAACGGCGTACTTGCTTCTTCTGCTGTAAACAGGGTCACGTATTTCGAGATTTCCGGCTTATGAAAAAGGCTAGGGAACAATTGAAAGCGAATCCCGAACAGCGCCGCCAAGCGAACAAACAGAGCAAGGAGGGAAACGTCCGAGTGTAATGACCTCTGGGTGTTCTCCTAACTTAGTCCCTATCAGGTTGCGGACTGTGACGCGATAGATCTCTCGTGACAGAGGATTATTAGTCAAAATTCAGTTCAAGTCAATCGATTTCCTCCTTTCCCCGTTCAAAGAACTGTCCCCCACACGGGCCCTCGCCCCTTTCCATTGCGAGTCCACAAGAGGCCGCTCGCCGCGGGGTGCGGCCGTCCCTGGCTACCTTGTGTCGGCCCCCGTTCTCCCCGTAATGTGTCAGACCTACTTGTTAGATTAGGCTAAATAGGCTCGGATTAATAGTTTCCGTCATACTTATTCCGTCCTCGCTCCTTATACCTTCTAATTTGTCTATCCGTATTAATAGCATTTACTTGTAGTGCTAGTGCACTACACCGAGCCCCTAAGCAACGTGTAATGCACAGGCACTACAAGGGATCCCTTGTGTGGCCTTTAGAGGCCTAGTATCAGGAACAGGAATAAACACTGTAGAATATCTCAAGAATTAGGACCCTTTTAGATAGAAAAGATGCATAATAGGATCAGAGTGCTCGTCAGCTGGCACC